TATAGATAATTCGGTCAGATAATAATCCAATCCGATTAAAATTATATATATATATATATATATATATATATATATATATATATGTCTTATTATTTTATTCCCTCCGTCTCACGATTCCTGAACGCGATATCTAAAGTTGGACGGAGGAAATATTAGATTACAATATACTGTTATCTACTACTATCAAATTTATATACTCCGTATATGATTATTTATCACTATATTCATTTGGCTACATAATTATATTATGTATCATCCTATTTATTAACAATTCTTTGTTTCATCTAACCATGCATCTATATATGTCATTTTAATTTTTGCTTGAAAAAATAAAATAAAATAATAATAATAATAATAAATTAAAAATAATTGGAAATCTTAGCTTAACAAATCTAATATGAATTTGACTGATTGGATCCGATCCGAATCCAATAAGTTTACAGGCCTACTCGTGAGTGGTGAGGTGAGTTGAGGATTGGCGTGAGTCTTATGGGCACTCTCTTGTTATACAAAAAGTAGGCTTTGATAGAATCTTGGATTATCTAATTGTTGCTGATGGAGGACTATGTTTAAGTATGAAGTACCCATTGTTGACATCAAACAACTTGTTATTGGATAATTTGAGCTTGCTACTGCAAAAATGCCTGAAAGCGAAGGCATTGAAACCCTGCAAACAAATTCATGCTTTCTTATTAGCTTATGGTATTAATACGAGCATCTTGTCTTTGAACTCTAGGATCATTAGTGTGTATGCAATTTGTGGGGATGTGAAGTCTGCTAAGCTGAAGTTTCAAAGCACTCCAAAACCAAATGTTTTCGCATTCAATTGGATGATTTTCGCTTCGTCGTTCAATGGGTATTCTGAAGAGGCAATTGGGTACTTCTCTTTGATGGAAAAATCAAGAAATATTCCTAATAATTATACATTTTCCATTGTATTGAAAGCTTGTGTAGGTTTAATGGATTTGCGTAAGGGGAAGGAAGTTCATGCTATGTCGAGTAAAATGGGATTTGAGTCAGGTGTATCTGTGGGTAATGCTTTAATTGATATGTACTGCAAATGTGGGAATCTGCGCTATGCCCAACAGGTGTTTAATAGAATGACTGAGAGAGATGCTGCTTCTTGGACATCAATGATTTGTGGGTATTTGAGGACACCAAAGTGACCCGGGCTTGGTAGGATCCGTACTGTTAAGAACGGGTCGGGCATGGATAGCCAGGGTGGAGCAAGTCCACGTTGGATAGGCCCAGATCCATGAAGTCATTGCGGAAGCCCACATTAATATGAGAGATATTGAGTCTAGGTGAAAGAGAAGAAGTAAGGCCCAGGTTAGAGGAGGGTTTAACCGTCTATAAACAAGGAAAATTGAGAGGGAAAAGAGGTTAGAAATCATTGGGAGTGTAAAATTTCTCTCTCTGCAATTGGGGGAAATTCTTTGTACTTTCAATTGGTGCCGTCTGTGGGAAGTGGTAAAAATAAAAATAAAAATAATGTTCAAGCCGAGCGCTAGGCATTCAACAAAGTTAGTGGCAGCTGGCAATATGAGCCGAACGCCAAACACTTGCTCAAAAATAAAAATAAAGCCAAGTGGCAAGTGGCGTTCAACCGAGTGCCAGGCATTCAGCAAAGTTAGTGGCAGCTGACACTTTGAGCTAAACTCCAAACACTTGCTCAAAAATAAAATAAAGCCAAGTGGCAAGTGGCCTTCAAGCCGAGCGCCAGGCATTCAGCAAAGTTAGTGGCAGCTGGCACTACGAGCCGAACGCCAAACACTTGCTCAAAAATAAAAATAAAGCCAAGTGGCAAGTGGCGTTCAAGCCGAGCGCCAGGCATTCAATAAAGTTAGTGGCAGCTGGCACTACGAGCCGAGCATCGAACACTTGCTCAAAATAAAATAAAGCCAGAACGGTAACCAGGCCGAACACCAAACACTTATGAAAATACACAGCAAGGTTGAAAATGGAAAACTTGAAGAATGGAAGTCATGCTGAGCAAAAAGCATTGTCATTCATTACAAAAAGGTCCTGAGGTATATAGCTTGATGATCTGAGGATACATGAAGATATATATATATATATATATATATATATATATATATATATATATATATATATATAATAAAATAAAATAAAAAATAAAAAAAAAAAACTACTGTAGGATGTCAGTTCTCATGGTCTTCTCCAGGCTGTGACCTGTCGTTCTCCTCACCATTACCCTCTGGACCATTGAGGTCTTCTCCATTCTCAGCTGCCCTATCATCCTTAGGGGGGGAGTCAAGATGAATCACCCCCTCAGCTAGCATAAGTCTGTCAGTAACAACTGAGGAAGAGGGCACAATAGTAGAAATAGGAGGAATATTCAGGGGATGGAAGGGTGGAACAATTCCTGAGGATGCAACCTCTATACACTCGATGAAGATATTCTCAGCAGGGTCGTAGGGTGGGTTTTGATAATTATTTGGGGGGTGGATATCCAAAGAAACATCTAATTCATCTGGACCAGCACAAGAGCTTGATTCACCTTCAGGGGGAGAACGGTTAATAAAACCATCTCTGTACCCTTTAGCATACTGGATGGCACTGGTTCTGGTGAAGCGAGCAAGGAGAGCTTTCATACCCCCTTCAACTTTGCCAATCATGTTCAGCAAAGAAGACCGTTCGCTTAAGAGCTTCTCCTTTGAGTTGGCATGAGACAACCGATCACCAATGAGTGAACGTTGAAGGTCTCCCTTTTCAGATTTGAGAGAGTCCCTTTCTGTCAGAGCAACGCTCTTCTCAGTCTTCAAGACATCAACCTCATCCTGAAGTGAATCCCGTTTGGCCTTTAGGGTATCCCGTTCGGCTCTGAGGGTGTCCCTCTCATTTGCCAGACCGTCCTTCTCTACCTTTAATTCAGCAACCCCTTTCTCTGACTCGCTCAGCTTAGACTCAAGCTCAGCAACTTTGGCCTCAAGGCGGTTCTCTGCTTTAACAGACCTTTTAAGGCCCACAGAGAGGGATTTAAGTTTTTTGTTCAGAGTCTCAATGGTCTTTTGGAAGGTGAACATCCCGAAGAGAGTCTGCGTAAAGAAAGGGAAATTCAGGTCAGACTAGCTAATAAAGAGTTATAGTAGAAAGGAAACATATTTCAATAAAAAGAGGAGTTACCTCCATTGCAGCAGTTGGGAACCGCTGGAACATCTCGCCAAAAGATAGCTTGTTCTGAATCTCAAGGTCCTTGGGGGTCTAAAAACCCTTGTAGAAAGTAAAGGAGGTGAGAGGGTCCTTATACACAGAGTCGGTGGGGCCAATGGTCGAGCCATCTTCACGGTTGAGCAAAGGTCGCCATGGAAAAACGGATGGAGTTGGACCAGAGGTTCTAGCTAATTTTCCCTCTGGAATGAAGAACCGGGCAGGGGGCAATGGTTCAGTAACTCTGAAAGAAGCCATCCTGGTCCTCCGGGCTGGTGGGACATCACTCCGGTCATGACCGCCCTCAGGCATTGACCTTTTTCCCAAACTTTTTTCTGACAGACCAGCACTAGCTGGTCCTCCATTGTCCTGAGAATTTCCAGCATCCTGAGTGCTCTCTGAGGAAGTATCAGACGAGATGTTGGAAGGCATAATGATAGGAGCAGCAGGACGGATCTCAGCAGTGTGATCCACAATAGGGTTCTCAGCATGAGTGAGCTCAGAAGGCTCAACAGTAGAACGGTTTGTGACTTGAGTCACAGTTGGAGCAATCACAACTTGTTCTGGGGCAGAGACAGTAAGGATGGACTATGTGGTACTAGGTGTAGATGATGATGTGGTAGCAGGAGCGTTAGAAGGGGTGAGAGCAGAACGCCTCCTCCTGTTGAAAGATGGGATCTGAATCCTCTCCATTGTGGACCCTAAAAGAGAGATGTCAGAGAGATTGTCAAATGTAAGCAAATCAGTAGCTGAAGGGATATTGTTCAGCACACTCTCTTGCAAGATGTCTAGCCTAGCCCTACAGACACTATAAACCAATTCATCATGGGGAATTTGAAGGCATCTATAAAGAAAAGTGCAAAAACGGGGAAGGCAACTTTCACAATGGCATTCAGTAGGATGTGTTTTTAGTTTTTTTTAGCCAGAGACAAAGCATGCTCCAAATGAAGAAGGAATAGAGAAAAATTGGGTGAGCAGAGTCCGCCAATTCCCACTAACCACAATTAAGTTTTGTCTCCAACCTTTTTCAAATGAGTTCTTATCAGTGCAGATCGACCGTTTGTCAATAGGAAAGAAGTTATAGTACAAATCATTTTGTGTAATTTTATTAATCCGGTAGCAGAGGAGAAGGTCGATGATGTCAAGGTTGAGACCCCTGTCACGATTCAAGAGCATGAGGACTAAAATTACCTTAAGGAAGTTGGGGTTAACCTGCAGGGGGCAGAGCCCCAATTTGTTGAAAGCATAACAAAAGAATGGATGTAAAGGGAACCTAATGACGTTCAAATGAACGGTAGAGAATAAAACTTCCCCAGGAAGGAGACCCTCGCCAGATCTCCCATCTAAGTTTATTGGATAGACCCTGAGAGAAACGTCATTGGGAATGTTGTTCTTGGATCGGATGGCGTTCAGATTAGGGGGAGCCATAGAGAAGGGGAGGAATCATAGGCAATAAAGGTGGTTTTTTCAAAGAGAGGTAAAAAAAAAAAAAAAAAACTGACCTTGGAAGTTTGTGATGAACACAGCCACAGCACAGTAACCAAAATCGTAAAGGAAAAACTCGCCAGATAAGTTGAAGAAGGATCGCCGGAATGTACTTGTTGGCAGCGGAGAATAAAAGCGGGATATGAAAAAGAAAGATAAAAGTTGAAAGATCAGGGTTTATAAGGAGAAAAGGTGAAGGCGACATGGAACTCAAAAGGTCAAGGCAAAAAGTGGCGCTGTAGATCTAAAAGTTTGGGTTTATGTGCCAGCCGTTCGATTCCTCATGTCATCGCTTCGAGCCGTTAGACCAAGATCATGTCTTTTCAATAATCTCACCCTCATTAATGAGGGGAGAGATTATTGGGGGCAGACGAGGACACCAAAGTGACCCGGGATTGGTATGATCTGTACTGTTAAGAATGGATCGGGCATGGATAGCCAGGGTGGAGCAAGTCCACGATGGATAGGCCCAGATCCATGAAGTCATTGCGGAAGCCCACATTAAGATGAGAGAAATTGAGTCCAGGTGAAAGAGAAAAAGTAAGGCCTAGGTTAGAGGAGGTTGTAACCGTCTATAAATAAAGAAAATTGAGAGGGAAAAGAGGTTAGAAATCATTGGGAGTGTAAAATTTCTCTCTCTGCAATTGGGGAAAATTCTTTGTACTTTCAGTATTCTAATGTGGGAAAGATTGATCAGTCAGTTGTCTTGTTTGAGCAGATGAAGCTGGAAGGATTGGAACCGAACGAGTTTACATGGAATGCAATGATAGCAGGTTATGCGCGGAGAGGAGATTGCAATAGCGCATTCACGCTGTTCTCTAGAATGAGAAGAGAAGGGTTCATTCCTGATTTGGTTACTTGGAATGCAATGATTTCAAGTTTTGTTCAAAGCCAAAAATATGTTGAAGCTATAGAGTTGTTTCGGGACATGTTGATTGCTGGGCTAAATCCCAATCAGGTGACCGTCACGGGACTGCTCCCTGCTCGTGGATCAATAGGTTCAATTCAAAGTGGAAAAGAAATTCATGGCCTCATATATAGGATGGATCTTTGTATTAATGTCTTTGTTGCTAGTGCTCTTATTGACACGTACTCGAAATATGGGTCTGTGAAGGACGCTTCGAATGTTTTTAACAAAATTCCCGTTAAGAATGTAGCATCGTGGAATGCCATGATTGGCTGTTACGGGAAGCATGGCTTGGTTGATAGCTCAATCAACTTTTTCAGAGGATGCAAGATGAAGGAATGCAAGCACATGAAGTCACTTTGATTTGTGTTCTTTGTGCCTGTAGCTATGGTGGTTTAGTTGAGAAGGGTTTAAAGATATTTAGGTCTATGAGAGAGAATTATGGGGTTGAAGTCAGCAAAGAGCATCATGCTTGTGTCGTTGATCTTCTGTGTCATTCTAGGAGGATGGAAGAAGCTTTTGATTTGGTGAAGGAAATGTCAATGGAAATTACAGATTCAGTTGTGGGGGCTTTCTTCAATGGGTGTAGAATCCACGAAAGAAGAGATTTGGCTAAAAAGATGGCTGAGGATATTTTGAGGATGGAATTGAAGAGACCTGCTGGTTTTGTATCTCTGTCAAATATTTATGCTGCTGATGGAGAGTGGAAAGAGGTTGATTATGTGAGGCAGGTTATGAAGGCGATGGGGGTCCATAAGAAACCTGGTTCCAGTTGGGTTGAGAACAGGAACGAGTTTGCTGAATCCCAGTAGGAAAAGTAAAACTCACACAACCACTTTTCCCTTATGCGAACTTGAACTCTCAACTTTCTACAAGGTGAGTAAGTACTACGTAGCTGCAGCCCTTGGTGATGAGGATGGCTGTTGAGATTGAAGCATGTATGGGTAAATTGATGAATGAGTTTGCTGAATCCTGATAGAAATAGTCATGATATAGATCAAGTTTATTGCAATTGGAATATATTTCAACTTTCAAAAGATATTTTTTGAAATGGACTGAAGTTCATGATAAAATGCCGGAAATTTTTCCTTGGCCAGACCACATTAAAGAAAAACATTCTCTTCACTTGGAGTTGCTGCTTCCTCTTCTATCTTAACAATCTTTCTTATTCTTGGGTCATCTGCAGAAAAGGTGAAAGGGAGCAGAATTTTAGAGATTTAAAACATGTAGATGCTGTTGGATTTGCAGGTTATTTTGTTAGCGTTTGTAATTTGTAACTTGGAAAAAAAAAAAAAATAAAATAAAAAAAATAAAAAATAAAATAAAAATAAAATTTGTTTCTAATTTGTAACATGAAAAGATTTTCATTTAGAATTGAACCCTAAGTAATTAGATTATGGTTCATTGATGCTTATGCTTGCTTCTTTGTGGGGGCCAATCTGCATTTTAAACATCTTCTCATGAGAAATGACATATTCTCTTCTTCTTCTTCTTCTTCTTCTTCTTTTCCTTTTTTTTTTTTTTTTCAATAAAAATGAGAATATGTCATTAATTTATTTTTTTTTCCTTTTTTATAATAATAATGAGAATATGTCATTAATTTGCTAGAGTGAAATTTATTTTATTTATAAATAGAAGCACATGATTGTCTTTAGAGAAATTCTCTATCCTTATAATTGGATTCCTATCCCACTCTGTTTGCTTCAGAAACTTATGTGACTTTGTGGACTTGGCCATGTAACTTGGACAACCACCTCGAATGTATGCATATCCACCGTTTTTGAAGTTCTTTCGTTGATGCTGCTTCTTTTCGAATTCCAAACATACTCAAATGTCCTATTCTTCTCGTTGCATACTCTATGATTCTTGGATTTTATAGCTTATCAACCCCTTGTAATACCCTTTAGTTGGGATGCAATTCGGGCAGGTTTTTCGAAATTATTGATTCCAATAATTCCGAGTCAATTACGTGTTTACACATAAGTCAATGGGTTAGGTTTGGGTTAGTTTTATTTTATTTTTTACTTAGGTTTCCATAATTGTTCTCTTTGATGTTTTTCACATAAAAAATTGTGTCATATCTTAATTTTCTTATTTTTTATTTTTATTGGTTGTGTGTGATTGATTTATTGTGTTTTAATTGATTAAGATTTAAAAATAATCTGAAAATCAATAAAACCAGCAAACTACACCTATTCAGCTCTGAAACTACCATAAAACATCTCAAAGGTGTTGGAGTTGGTGGGCAAATGAACACAAATAGGAAACTCTCACTTCTATAAAGCTTGAAGACTTTATCTTGTATTACTCAATTGTTTGTGTGTGTTGAAATACACTTCCATAACTCACCTATTTATAATACTCAATGGATACTTCTAGTACATGAATTTAATACATGCAATGAACCACACAATGAACCAAAATATTTCATATACACCAAAATGTTCCATGTACTAGCAATTATTATGAAATTCTTTGCACCTTCCTAAGTATCACTTGGTTTTCTTAGATGAATCTAGACAAGTCTAGATTAATCTTCTAACATCCCCCCTTAAGCTAGACTTGTGCAACTCCAAGTTTCTCCTTCAATTTGATAAAACTTTTTAACTTCAATGCTTTTGTAAAAATGTCTGCAATCTGATCTTCGGTCTTGCAGTGTTTGATGACAATTTCTCCATCTTTAACCAAATCTCTAATGAAGTGATACTTGATTCTAATATGCTTGCTTCTGCAATGAAAAACTGGATTCTTGTTAACTGCAATTGCTGAATTATTATCACAAAACAGAACAGTATCTTTCACCTGAAAATACTTCAAATCTTCTAATACCCATTTCAACCATAGTGCTTGGCAACCAGCTGTAGACAGAGCAATATATTCAGCTTCTGTAGTTGAAAGTGCTACTACAGGTTGCTTCTTCGATGCCCAAGATACTGCACCTGAACCAATGTTAAAAACATAACCAGAAGTACTTTTGTGATCATCTCCACTACCTCCCCAATCACTATCACTATATCCGATCAGAGTTGAATTTTGAACCCTCTTATAATGAATTCCATGATCAATTGTACCTCGAACATATCTCAGAATTCTCTTTCCAGCATCCCAATGACTTTGCTTTGGTGCTACCATGAACTTGCTTAGCATGCTAACTGAAAACATTAAATCTGATCTTATTGCGGTTAAATACATAAGACTTCCCACAAGACTTCTATAGACAGTAGCATCAAAATCTTCACTCCCATCATTTTTGCTCAACTTCAAACCTACTTCCATGAGTGTTGTACTTGGTGAGGCTTCCTCCATTTTGAACTTTGCAAGCAAATCTTTTGCATATTTCTTTTGTGAAATTATGATCTCATCACTTTCTTGCTTAACTTCGATTCCAAGGAAATAATAAAGAAGACCCATATCTGTCATCTCGAACTCATTCATCATCGACATCTTGAACTCATCACACATCTTCTTACAACTGCTAGTGAAAATTAAGTCATCAACATATAAGCAAACTATTAAAATATTTCCACTTTTGTCTTCCTTGGTGTAGAGAGCATGTTCATAAGGACATCTCCTGAACCTATTCTTTATGAAGAAACTATCAATATGACTGTACCAAGCCCTTGGAGCTTGTTTTAAACCATATAAAGTCTTCTTCAAATGACAAACCTTGCCTTCTTCACCTTTCTTCACATAACCTGGTGGTTGCTCAACGTAAACTTCTTCTTTGATGTAACCATTTAAAAATGTTGATTTTACATCCATTTGATATATTTTCCATCCTCTTTGAGCTGCTATTGCAAGAATTAATCGAACTGTCTCCAATCGAGTCACGGGAGCAAAAATTTCTTCATAATCGATGCCAAGCTTTTGCTTGTAGCCTTTCACAACAAGTCTTGCCTTGTACTTGTCCACTTCTCCCTTCTTATTTAGCTTTGTTTTGTAAACCCACTTCACACCAAGTGGTTTCTTGTCTTTTGAAAGCTCGGTCAATTCCCATGTCTTGTTCCTTTTTATTGCATCAATTTCTTGGTCCATAGCTTTCTTTCATTTCTTATCTTTTGCGGCTTCTTCAAAATTTATTGCATCAGCAAACATCACAAAATTTATCAAGTCATCCCCATCAATTCTTCTTGATGCTTCATAAATTTGTTGGATGCTTTTTGTTTTTGGAAGAGGCGATTCTTCATCACTTGATGATGATGAACTCGAGCTTGGAGAATCTGGTGTGTTTTCAACATGCTGAACATCTTGATCTTCTTCTCTGCTTTTCATATCTATAACAGTTGAATTCTTTTCTTGAATGGTATTTTCCCATTTCCATGCTTTTTTTTCATTGAACTTCATATCTCGGTTGATGATTATCTTCTTTGAGGTAGGATTGTACAACCTATATGCCTTCGAGCTTTCACTGTAGCCAACAAAAACACACTTTTCAGATTTATCATCTAATTTACCTCTCTTCTCATCTGGAATATGGGAGTAAGCAATACTGCCAAAAATTCTTAGATGATTAACACTTGGCTTTAAACCGCTCCAAGCTTCATAAGGAGTCATTCCTTGAATAGCTTTTGTTGTAGCTCGATTTAGTAAATATACCACACATGATACTGCTTCACCCCAAACAATCTTTGGCATCCCCTTTGTTGTCAACATACTTCGAGCTAACTCCATGATGGTTCTATTTTTCCTTTCGGCAACTTCATTTTGTTGTGGAGTCCCTCGAACAGTTTTCTGATGTCGTATACCATGCTTGATCAAAAACTTCTTATAACTGATGTACTCACCACCTCGATCAGATCATATGGTTTTAGTCTTGTAGCCACTGTCATTTTCGACAAGGGCTTTGAATGCTTTAAATCTTTCAAATGCTTCACTCTTTTCTTTTAGCAAATAAATCCATGTTTTCCTACTATAATCATCTATAAATGTCAGAAAGTAACGATTACCTCCCATTGACATGGTTCGTATTGGTCCACACAAATTTGTATGTAACAACTCAAGTGGTTTTGAAGCTCTCCATGCCTTTCCAATGGGAAAAGGCTCTCGATGATGCTTTCCCAAAATGCAAGGCTTCACAAACTCCATCTTCTCTATTGATTCTTGGCAAACCTTTCACCATATTCTTTTGACACATGTAGGATAATGAGTTGAAACTCACGTGCCCATATCTGTGATGCCATAGCCATGATTCTTCATTTATCACGGCACTAAAACTGACCATCTTCTCATACATAAGCTTCAATGGAAACATTTTGTTTTGTGTCATTTGTACCTTTATAATCAGCCCACCATTTTTGTCTTTGACCACACAAACATCATTGTTGAAGCGTACATCATTTCCCTTTTGCAGAATCTGTCCAACA